AAATGTTTTTTTGAAACCTACATCACACCAGACCACACCTCACGATTTCCAATAACTTAAAATAACTTCTGTAATCATTTTTTATGTAAAATTAGGGTACTTTCTGTTTTATAGTTTCAGTTGTACATGCTCTCAGTGCTTGTTGTCTCGGTTATAACAAATGGAAATAAAGCTTCAAAGTGTCAAATTAAAAATAATAACCAACTTAACGAAAAAATACATCAAAGTACAGAGAAGGTGAGTTCTGTTTTTCTTTGAAATAAAAAATCGTGTGGAGTAAAAAATATTACAAACAGTTGTGAAGTCTCAAATTGGATTTGGATTAATGTACAGATTAAGTTAAAGGCTATTTTTTGTTTAAATAAGTTTAGTTCTAAATAAAAGCTTACGTAAAAGTATAAAAATATTTGAGGCAATAAATAACAATCTTTTTATGTTTTATGTATGTGCTATGTACAATAAAAAAAATATATTGTAGTAAAGATTAAAAAGTTTATATACTTAAAAAATTGAAAAATTGAATCCAATAATTATATGTGTAGTGATTAGTTTATCATTAGTCGATGATTATTCAGAAATCGTGAGATTCGGTCTGGTGTGATGTAGAATCTTGGCCCTGAAGATGATCTCCATAAAGATCGAAACGTTGGAACGATAAAGAAAATGTTTTTCTGAAAATTACATCACACCAGACCGTATCTCACGATTTCTGAATAACCAATAATTATATTTGATTTAAGGTCATTTATTAATTTAAAGTTAATTATTTAAGATAAGTCTTGGTTAATCGTAGACTGTTTTTTCATTTCTTTGACATTTTTCGTAAATCAATTAAACGGTTAAAAAGAAAAAAAGGGAAGAAAGATGCGACTAAATCAATTAAACGGTTAAAAAGAAAAAAGGGAAGAGAGATGCGACTTGGTTAGATAAAAATTTTGCGTTAATATTGTTAGGTAAGTGTCGAGGAAAATTCTGTTTTTCGAACAAAAAATAACGAGATTATCTTTTTGTCTTTTGCTTCCGATCTTTTGTTGTAGTTATAACATAAGAATACGATTCCAGCGTTAAGAAACGAAGTGGAAATATGCAAAACGACCTAATCAAAACTCAAAATCGACAAGTGTTTACGACAAGACCCGTGGAGGCGAAACAAGAGGTAGCGTGAGCATTAACTGTTATTATTGAGAAATTGCAGTTCTGGCGTGTATTTAATTGTTAAAACAACCCCCAGATAGGTATCTTTACAGCCTGTTGTAACTCCCTGGCTGCAATTTCCTCTGCTGTTGTTACGTCTTGCGTCGTCAATTTTCATTTACTTGATCGTTTTACCGAACTTGGAAACCTTGATGGTCTATTGGGAAGGAACAGTAATAATTGTCGAGTGGTTCGAAATAAAAATAATTGCTCTATTAGGACCAATTGTATTACAGAAGATTTTATGGGTACGTAGTATGTGAAATGTGTTCGAGGAAAGCATTAAGAACATTTCACTCTCATTACACCTTCATGCTTGAAGTCTAGCCTAAGATTATTAATAAAGATAATTGCCTCACGAACAAAAAAACCCAGCATTAAAATGAAATTTTGAAGCATTGAACAGAAAAAGTGTTACTTCTTTCTACAATTTACATCGACAAATTTATATAAGTGTTTGTTGTCCAGGTACTCGGACACAGGTCTGGAAGATAACGAAAAGACGGGCGAGGCCACCGACACTAAAAATACAATTTAAACAAAATAAGGTGGCAGAGTAGGTGGGATGGAACGGCAGAGAAGCATTGTCGTAGGTGGTCCTCGGGTGAGCTGAGTCGTAGAAAAAGGACCCGATTAAGAATAGGCCATGGGAGGTTGACACACGGACAAATATTTCCGTTACCAATCCATAAATTCTTGTCGGCTTCTCTATATTTTCCAGCTACTTCAATTTAAATCTTCTATCCACTCTTAACACCCGCTCATCCCAATGACAGATCTTCCAGGTATTAAAACCTATTCCTAAATATTTGAAAAATAAATTTTGTTCACTAAATAGTGTTAGAAAATCATTTAAAAAATAAACTAAATATATAATATTTCAAAAGTAAATCATATTTAATCTTAACCGTGTAATATCAATTTTGGTTAGATATGTTTTTCTCGTATTTCATCTAATCGTAAATTCATAAATAATTTTGTAAAATTAATCCCAATTTGTTTTTCTTCAATATTGATTTGGTATCTTACAAAAACAAATTTATATAATTTTTCGACATTTTGGAAGAAATAATGGTTTTGGTTCTTTATTTTTGTAACTTTACTTATTGTTCTTCCATTATTTAATGAAAATCAATGTTGATATACATAAAAACAATTTGATAATAGGTCACGTACTATTTGTTAAATTTTTTACTAGGTTTCGTGGTCCGCATGACCAAATAAATTCTTTTCAATTAATTAAGGTTTTGGTTGAGATAAAAAAGTCAGTGTCACAAGCGGCATTCGAACCCACGTCCTCCGGCTAAATACGCCGCTGCTCTACCACTTGAGCTAACGTGACTTCAATCCTAAGCTATCGATTAGTGTCCGAGTGGATCGAAGTCAAGATAGTTCAAGTGGTAGAGCAGCGGCGTATCTAGCCGAAGGTCGTGGGTTCGAATCCCGCTTGTGACACTGACTTTTTTATCTAAACCAATACCTTAATTAATTGGAAATTATTTTTTCATTCATATTTATTCATTTACTAACGACTAAATACGTGTTTTATTCCCAGTTTCAATAGTTTTTATTTTTTCAAATAACTACACTTTATTTTAGTACTATTTTTAATCTTTTAAATTATTTGTATTGTATCGCTGTTTTTTGTTATTAACTGTCCAAATAAAATTGTTTGTTTCTTTATAAAGACGTTATTACTTCTTCAATTTATTTATTTTTCACCATTCTCACCTTAACGATAGATGAAGTTTTAACTTTTACACTATATTGTATACTGTTTGATTTGATGCAAGGATTAATGATTAACTCATTTACATCTATTTAAAATGGGTAAATTTATTTTAATGGCTGCAAGTTTTTAATGACTTTGTATTAATTGTGTACTATTTTGAATAGACGAAATTATTGATCGCAGCTTTAGTATAGTGGAAAGGTTTAGAAAAAAAAAGGAATAGTAACAAATTAAGGTCATTTCAAAGACTAGGCTGTTTGATGATGACAGGAGTATTTTCAACTACACCCACCCTAGCACTTGAAATCATAACCAATATCACACCTCATCACATTGAGGTTAAGGTCAGAGCACTAATCAGCTGCTACAGATTAATTAGCAAAGGCAGCAAGAACCATAAGTGCAAAAACATAGGTCACTCGAAAATCTTACAACTATTGAGTAAGGTTAACGTTATTTTTACTACATTTTATTTTAGTTGTACACTATTTTTAATATTTTAAATTATTTGTTATTGTACCTTAGTCATGTCTTTGACGGTTGACCGATTTTCACAACCTGAGCATTCAACTCTTATTTATTAATCAAATCAGAAAACCGAGTAGCTATGGAGAACAATCGTTCTATAGTGGGAAAAACATTACTGTAACTCTGTAGTAATGACTTTAGAAGTTAGACATTACGGCTAATAGGGCTTTTCCAAGTGAAGAAACATATGCGCATGTTAAGAATCAACAGGTATTTGCAGACTCTCATGCCATTATTCTTCAACGAAAAAGCTCTCGGCCCTCATGACATGGTATTTCAACAAATCTGTAACTACCTTGTAAAATTACTATCTTCCATTTCTGGACATAACCAACACACATTATTTCATTTTTATTGACTATATTTGTATTTATGAAAAAAAGAATATCTGCACGAGGTTACATGGCGTGCATGGCCTGAAAGGCAGACTAGAGCGCTATAGTCCTTTGTTAAAAGAGCGTGGGGGTCATAGTAAAGGTAAGATGAGAAAGACTGTGTGTGTGTTTAATGGATTAAAGTGAGAAGATAATCTGGATTAGAAGTTAAGGTATTGGGATTTGGCAAGGCTTAAGGGTTTAGGTTTTAATGGTACTTGATCAAGGTTTGTGAAAAAATATAATTTTGGAGAAACCTTCTTTTACGGTTTTTAACTTAATTAACAAAATTTCAAATAACTTCACAAAGATAAAAATATGAAAAGTTGAATTTTTGCTTTTCGGCCGAACAAAAGAAAGACACTCCGTTTGATACAAAAAATTATAATCATATCCGTCATAACAGCAAAAATAAAATAAGGAATTTAATTATATAAATATTAGGATAAAATATAGATAACTTTACATATAAGTAAAGATAAAGGTTAAGATAAAAAAGTCAGTGTCACGAGCGGGATTCGAACCCACGACCTTCGCCTAAATACACCACTGCTCTACCACGTGAGATATAGTGACTTCGATCCACTTGGACACTAACTTCCCATCTCAACCCCACCTTTTGAATTTTCCCTCCTTTTTTGCCATTTTTCAAATGTCGTGTAACCTATTTGATTCTCGGCGAGAAATGAAATGGCCACGGAGAGCTTTAGTGAAGATATACTTCATTTAACTTATTAAATTCACTAATTTTCGTGGTCCGCTTGATCAATTAATATCTTTCAATTAATTAAGGTTTTTTACATATAAGAAATAAGTTTTTAACATTTGAATTTTATACGGATACAAATTTATATTATAAGATGTCTAAGCTGGATTTTTCGTTCTCGATATCTAAGCTAAATCGACTATTCATTCTAGCCTTTACTTTCTCTGGAATAGAGGAGAGAGTTGGATATAGTTTTCGTGTTATAAGTACATGTAGGTATTGAGAATCCTTACATAGATGGATATCTTTGCTGTTCCGTTAAGGACTAGTTTATAAACCCAAACTAAGCCTAACAGTACTGTTACTTTCTTTTGTGACGTTAATTTAGAATGGATGTCTAGTAGATGTCTGCACGTTTTTAGTCGAGTGTTCATTCAAATAAATAAAATATCCTAGAATCACTTACCTATGACAGTTGCTAGGATGATTAGTCCCAAGACGAGTCCGAGGAGAGCGATGGCGATGAGCGAGAGCTCAGGTGATTCCTCGAACAGGACGGTCGAATTAGTGAAGTCAAGCAGGTCCGGGAAGAAAGATTCGTTCGATGGCCAAATATCCACGGAGCTCGACAAAGTCTCGTTCCATGCGAAGCTCGGGGCGATGGTGGTGGAAGAAGTCGTCAGAGAAGTGGTGACCGTCATCGTGGGACTCGCGGGCGGCACGGCCGTCGTCACGTTTACGATCCCCTCACGGGAGAACGCCGTCGTGACGACGTCGTAGATCTCGGTGGAGAGACGTGGGTGTTTTCCCAATCTCCACGGCCGTCGCGCGTGACGCTTCACCACGCCACCCAAGCTCATCATCCCATCATTCCATCCACAATGCCCTGAAATGAGAAAAACAGTCACTCACTATTTAATAACTTAAAATAGTACTATATAAAATTACAGTTATTATGGTTTCTATTTAAACCAAAGAACCCTGTCAGTCCTGCCCATCAAAGTTACATTCTAGGATCTCCACAAAGTTATTTAAATTTAAGCACACTCTCACTCTCACAAAATCTTAACTACATTAAATGTTTTTTGTTTGAGTACTTTGAGTACTTTCTTCCGCCGCCCTATTTGAATACATGGTGTATACAAATTTGTATACAAATTAACCATGTATTCAAATAGGGCGGCGGAAGAAAGTACTCAAAGTACTCAAACAAAAAACTGTACAGCTAATGTAATTAGTTGGGTGATAAGAGGATTCCTTCATCGGCCCTTTCACACTGCATATTCACGCTATTAAATACAACTAGTATGACATATTATAGATAACTACAGGTTGTATGAAACGTAATTTTAACCCCCTCAAAATCAAAAATAACTTTAAAAATTTTCAAATGTTTCCCTTGCTTAATTTTTGACGCAGAAATTGAACACTTAATCAAATCTGTAATTTCTATACAGAGTATTACCGAAATCATACCCACCTCTTTAATTTATTTGTGTTCAAATAACACCCCATATTTTTCTCTTTAGTTCATGAACTTAGATGTGTTGTTACTTTTTTTTTTAAATCAAGAAGACTTGATGAAACTTAACGAAATTATGTACATTTAAAGTTTTACGCATGAAATACCGCGATTATTATTTTCTGTCCCAAACCTGCTATTAAAAAATCCCATTCAAGCTTTTACAATGTATTTTGAGTTTGCAAAGATTGCGAGAGAGAACATTCAATTTACGAACGCATAAAATAGGCTATATTTCAGTAATGCTCTATATAAAAATTACAGATTTGATTACATTAGCCAATTTCTTCGCCAAAAATTAAGGAGGGTTACCATTTAAAATTTTGTCCTAGCTATTCTGGATTTTGAGAAAAATGGGTGTGACATCTTTACGACATTATCAATATTTCAACCAGATGTTGATTCTCCTCCCATAGAAATACACTTTCTGCCCAAATATAATATTAACTGCGAATGGCAGTCATACTCGCTCTCTATCTGGATCTCCCCAGGGTTCTATTCTGGGGCTAACACTTTTCTTCCAATTCATAAATCCTCTCGTTAAAATAAGAAATTGCACTTTATACAGATAATATAGCAATATGCTGTTCTGCATGGAGACCTGATACAATTAACAGTAGAATAACTGAGGCTGCAAACAGGGTGTCCCGTTTCAGTAATCGATGGAGGCTCAAAATAAATATCCCTAAAACTGAGACCATATTTTCCACTAGACGACGCCCAATCTTCAGGGAGAATTAATGGTTTTCCGATTGCTTGGGCAGAAAAATCACATGCTTACGAGTAATTTGAACAGGAAGCTTCGCTTATTTAATTTGTTAAAGTAAATCTGGCTTAAATCGTTAGGATTGTTCATAATTGTTACTACATTTTATATAGTTGATACCGTTCCTATGTTATTTATTATAAAGAGTGACAAACTTAGAATCACTCTAAAATGTACTCAATCTAATTTTTTTAAAATCCTTTTGTTTGTAGTTTTTTCAAATAATTTTTCACAATTTACTTAATATTTATAAATCTTTACTTAATGCTTAGGATTTATATACGGGATGTATATAAATTTACCACATAAATACAAAATTTAATGTTATATATTTCAGAAAATGTTGTAACAGTAAATAAAATCTATTTATCTATATGGTTCCAACGAGGGACACAAAAAGCAACCTTTCTCTGCATACCGGGCACATTCGGAGCCTTTAACTTAATTTCCTAGTTCCATTATTACGTAATAGGTTAACATTCCGATAAATTTATATGAAAATTATCAACAAACTTCAGCCAAAGAAACAACTGCGGAATTTTCAACATTAAAATTAAGCGTATCATCTGTTCCTCCCATTATTCCAACTACGCCCTGATAGAATGAAAAGTTCCCCGTTTATTATTAGAAGTTTAAGAATTATTATGGTAATTAAAAACTGCAAAAGAAACGGAATCACCATAATTCCACCTTGTGCTTTCTTAAGCATAATTGCATGCGTTTCCTACCTGGGCTGAGCTACTTTCACTTCAATGAACAAAAACGCAACAAAATATTAATATTTTCATTCATTCAAATTAATCTAAGTGTACTAATTTATCTACTGTTACTGTACGTTTGTTTCTATAAATATGTACTAATAAGTGCTTTTAACAATTAGTCATTTTTATTTGATAAAAGCAATGATTGGGTTTCGATTTTTTTTTTTTTGAGGGTTCACAACAGCGAATGCAGGGCCGCTGGATTCGAACCCGGGGATTTTACCTTAGTGATGAGGGCCGTGACAACGCAAAGCGTTGCGGCCACCCACGCCCCTCACTTTCGTAATTCTACACCGTTTTAATGTAAAAGTATATAGTAAAGTATATAGTAAAAGTATTTCTGCCCTACAGAATCTTTATAAATATTTTATTATGACAAAATTTACCCTCTGTAGAAATGCTACCTGCGAGGGCGTTGCAATTACACAGTGAGTGATTTCAGCATTTTCGGGAGCCGAGGACAAGTCAAAGTATAAAATGTGAAAGTAAAAATTCTGATAAAAATCGTATAATAGTGAAATCGTCACGAGGAACTTAAAATCAATAATTAGGACTAGAAGAATTCCCAGTTCGTAGCTTTCCACACCATTTAGAGAAGTATTTCAGGCTTAAGTGGCAATGAGGAAACAACTATACACCATGCTTTGTTCAGTATTTCGATATATAGGAAAAAAAGAAATTGACGCAATATGGGAAAAAACAATGCCCTGCCTGCTTAAATGAAGTCTAGTGCAATTTTCTTATTTTTCTAATTAAAATCTATTAAAATACATGTATCTGTTCTGTAATTGATGCTGTGTTTATCTCTGTTGATACAATCCATTTCTACGAAATTACGCATATGTTTGTTTTGGTCTGTGTATAATATTAATAATGCACTCGCTATCCACCATTTTCAACACAATTTCGACTTCAAAAATCCAAAAATATTACACACAGAATAAAACAAACATAAACGTAATTTCTTAGAAATGGATTATATCAACAGACATAAACACAGCATCAATTACAGAACAGATAAATGTAAACACAGTCGCAGCTACGCCAATATTATTAATCAAATTCAATATAGATAACATACATATATCATCACATTACATTTCACATATCAAATATTTTTCACATAGTCTAATTGTCCAACAATTTAGCTTTCCTTTTCCTATTTATCCCTTTCTATATAATCCTGAAAGGTTAATCTGGCCGAACCATTACCAACACATTTTTTCCCTTCGTTGGCTCTTTTCACCTCAAAGAAGCCGACGCCTTATGAAAAATGTCTTTGCTATACCGACATCCTTCCCCACCCCTTCAAAATCCAACGTATATAAACACAAAATAGCAAAATCTCACTGGCACTCTCGACATGCAAGAATGGCACGATTACATAGAAGACAAACTCTTTGAGTGAGTAGAAATACTTTGATTGAATATAAAAAATATATTTTGCATTGTATAAATTCACTTTTTCACATCCTAAATGTATTTGTTAAATGTAAACAATGTTTGTAAATCCCAGGCTCTGAAGATGATCTCAATAACGATCGAAACGTTGGCACGATAAAGAAAATGTTTTTCTGAAACCTACATCACACCAGACCGCATTATACGATTTCTGAATGATTATCGATTAACGGTCACTAATCACCACACATTATAAATAAACCATTTTTTCTACTTTCTTCTTTCCTTTATTAAAAATTAACAAAAATGCATTTAGCCATTTTTGACACATGTAAAATGCGTCAATTGTCAATATTTTCTAATTTCTTTGTCATTGCAGATGAAAGTAAAATTATGAAAGCTTTGTAACAGCAAAACAGACAAAATGATTTTAACGTAATATAAACAAAAATCACTATTAAACGGGATCAGAAATGGGCATCTAACAAAAAAGGATGGTAACTTACATAAACATAAACATTACTCCAGACCGTTAAACATTACCATTAAAAGTAATGGGACGATTAATGAATTTATTGTAAATCACCTGGAGCTCGGATTGTAATGGCTTCGAACATAGATGTTCCCTAAAAATTGATTTTCGATTTAGGATAATCCATTTATACAGCATGCGAATCAATGTCTTCCGATTAGATTTGGGATTTCAGCGAGTTAGCCTGATGGTTATTTACACGTGTATCCGGTTGAGTTCATTTCTGTTTTAAAAAATAATTCACCTTTTTGCCTTCTGAATCGGTTGGACGTGGATTAATTTGTAAATGTTCCATCTTTATTTTTCTGGAAAATTGGTTTTATTGATTTCCTTGAATTGGAAGAAATTAAAAATTTGTTTATATATTTCGTTTGGATAAAAAATGTTCTTTTAATTTTAGTGTAAAATATATTTTGAAAAATGTATACAGTTTAGGGTGAAAAAAGTCTGTAATACAGTTTTGGGGCCGTCGGTGGCCGCAACGGTTTAGGCGTTGACACGGCGCTCATAACTGTAAGGTAAAGGTCCCGGGTTCGAATCCAGCGGCCCTGCATTCGAACCCGACCTACTTACAAATGGGCCTTTTTTCAAAAACATCGGCACCCCGAGGGTTGATATAACCTCTGCTGTTGCGAACCCTCGTAAAATAAAATAAATTAAAAATTAAAAAATACAGTTTTGGTTTAATCGCTATTTTTTATCGTTAATCGCTAGTTTATTTGTTATTTTCTGGTAAATGTAATAGTATGAATAGTCAATATTGTTTTTCTTATAAAGCTGCTTCCAAAATTGACGTCGCTTGCCCGTTGCATTGATTATCCATGCATTAATCTGCTATAACCCGTCACAAGTGGAAGCTTCCGAAGAATAAAGGGTTGTAAACGCTACTGTTAATTTCCATCTC